TTCATAATTCCATGATTTGTATTACTTTCAGTAGACTTAAAGGCTTTCAAACTATCAAAAGCTTCACCCTCACGTTTTCTGAAAGAAGTAATACCGAAAACTTAATTTGTAACCCTCATTTAAACAAAAATTTAATTTTTTGATGAGTGAGAAATCTAATTCCCTCAGCGGAAATATTTAATAATGACAAATTTGAAATGACTTTTGTGTCAAGTTGAACTCACAATTCCTGTGGACTCACTAGCATTTGCAGAATTGAAAAATATTCACTAGTTCCGGAAATATTCCGTGTGGGAGTTTTAGGTGAAATGCCACAGTACAGTGTGGACATAAATAGTACCCCCCTCTTAACTATTAAACGTGATATATCAAGTTCGGACCAAAATACCGTAAAAAATATATCGTTTTCAGTACTTTTTGATGTTCAGGGAGTGTATAATACCTCGTTTTTTACATTCAATAATCGGATCAACTGTTCCTGAGGTATCATCAGTTTTATATGCGTTTACATTCTATAATCGGATCAGCTGTTTCTGACTTATTATCAGTTTTATATTCGTTTACATTCGATAATCGAATCAACTGTTCCTATTATGTTATCAGTTTTATATTCGTTTTGGGAATCTGTAAACAAACGATAAACCTCATTATTTCAAGAAATGTTGATGTTCACCATTCACGTCCGGCAATAATGAAGGTAATTTACGAATTCATTTCTTATATTTTGGTACTCTTTATGGGTAATTTCATTAAGAGAACCTGTTATCATATCCATGACCTCTGGATTTCATGAATCTGCACAAAAAATCTAAGGGCATCATATGAGGTGATCTAGCAGATTGAATAACCGCCATCTAGCTAATTTTAAACCAGCCTATCATAAATTGGAGATACTGTACTTCATATTGCTGAAACGTAACATTAGTTGGAAAATCATTTGGGTATGTCAGTTATCCAAACCAGTTGACAAGGTGAACAGAAAAAGATGTTCTTGCATCAAAATCAACCCAGGAACATTTCAATGTGAGAAATAAATTTGTAAACAAACTGCATTATTGTCAGGAAATGAATTATAAACCTATTAAACATTTTGAAACGAGAAGTGAGTTTTGAATACTTGTTTTCTTGAAATTATGATATTTATCATTTGTTTACGAATATAAAACTACTGATAACTCATAAATAGCTGATCCCATTATCAAATATAGAAAAGTATTGGATATAGAATTAAAGTATTTATCAAATGAGTTATCATAACAACCCCTGTACAATTGAAAAAAGGTAGTAGCGCCCTCTCAACGACGAGTAGTTCAATGCTATATTATGTTTCTCATCAAAAGGAATAAAAATCATATCTTCTTACGTGACTTCCGTCTGAGCTTTGGTATCTTGTCCAGTTGAGAAATCAGGAGCGGGGGTGTATTTATACATCCGCACCACATAAAAAATGTATTTTGAAGAAATATTATATTCAATTAATATATTCAAATCTTAAAATCAAATGAAAAAATGTTTACAGTTGAATATTCAAAATGCATTC